AAAAATATTAGCAAAAAATTTAATCTATTTTTGTTAAACAATTTTCTTGTCTAATTTTTTTATATTTTCTAAAAAAAATGTTCTCTTAAATTTATATACATATGTATGTATGTACTACGTATATGAATGTACGTATGTACATACATATTTTTTTTATTTTTCTCTAAAAACATATTTTTTCAAAAAAATATTTTTTTTATTTTTCTCTAAAAAATACACAAACTATTTTGTTCTTGTTTTCTAAAAAATAATTCTTTTAATTGTTTTTAATTTCTGTTTTCTTAAAATGTTCAAAAGATATATACCTATGTACATATCTTTTTTTAATCAAATATATTTGTTTTTCATTTTTATTTATAATTAAAAAATAATAATTTTGGCCAAAATAAATAATTTTTTCCAAAAAAAAGAGTTAAAAATATTTTTTTTCTGGAAAAATGTATTTCTTATCTTCATGTTTTTCAAATTTTTTTTATTCCATTTTAATATTTATGTTACTTATTGAAAATTTTATTTAAAAAAATTGTTAAAGATATGTTTTTAAAAACAAAAAAAAAAAGAATCATTAAGAAATTTACAAAAATTTTGATATACTGACAACCCTGTTTTTCTAAAACGACACTTACTTTGTCAGCACCACTTGTAACGCTAAAAAGAGTGTTAATCCCGCGTCGCGAAAAAATTATGTAAGATTTAATAACATCATGGATAAACATATGGACTAATGCGTACTACGTAAATTGATCTGTAGTTTTGAGATTTCATAATTGACCGCGGAGACGGGAAAATTAGTTGGCTTCTTTAAAATCCACTGCGTCGCCATAAGTCGTAGTATTCTATATGTCCGATCTTGGGTTATTGTCTATATAGAAATATTTGCAATTTTTGTTCACATTGTAATGAAAAATATATTTATGTATATATACATACACGTACACGCATGCGCACAAATTGCTACCTTGCACTTGTGCGTGTCAGCTTACGGCGCATGCGCACATATTTCATTACAAAAATATTTTGTTGCGATAATTAAACTTGAATTTCTTGATTTTTAATTTCAATTTTCATTTGCTTCTCACCAAGTCCTCTCATCTTGCAATTTCTGATAACTGTTCATTAAATTGTCATTTCCACCTGTCAAAACGTATAACTTCTTTGCACTGCTTCATTGTCAACAATTTTCAAATGGTCACTGCCGTTTTTGGGCATTATTATTGCTGTCATTGCCGGGCTGGTGCGGTGCGTATGCGTAACATTTGCGATAAAATTTAGCGTTTTTAGTGGCATTACATTTGCGAGCTTCAGATGCCGTTTGATGTCGGTGATTAAATATATTTTTACATTTTTGTTTGCATAATAAATCGCTAAAGAATATTTACTATAAAGAAAGCTTCACTAATAAAAGCTGCAAAAAAGTTGAGCTTTTTCATCGAGCTTTCCATTTTGTTGGCGAAGCTTTCAAAAAAATTAATCCTATTTATCCTTCATAAACGTTTTAATCAGCTGCAAAAAGCTATCAGTCACAGATTAAAATTGCAAAAGCTTTCCTTGAGCATACCGTTTCAATTGAGCTTTTAAGAAATCCAAGTGTTTAATTTATTATTATTTATTGCTTTCATAAGAGTTTTAATAATGGCCAAATAAGTCGGAAGAGATATAGCTAACGCTTACTAACATCTACTTATAATTTTGTGACAAAAAGAGCTTTAAAGCTTTTGAGACGTTTTCTTTTGTTTTGCAAAGTTTTCTAAGTTAATTTTTTTCATGCTTTCTGTGTGCACTCAGGGAATCAGTTAAGGGCTTTTAAGCTTTATCAAGTTGTTTTTTTATATATATATTTTTTTTTACATTCATTTAGTTTTAGCGCTTTGAGATTTGTTTGTTGAGTAAAGATTTTAAGCTTTAAAAATCAATGTATGATGTTTAATTCCTTTTTTGATTATTTCTATCACTTTCTATTAGCTTTCGTATTAAGCTTTCATTTATACACTTGACGTCTTCGATTTTTTTGGTTTGTGTATATTCTAGTTTCCTTGTGGTTTACTGTGACTTTACTACCGCGTGTGAGCTTTTAAGCATTTTTAGCCAGCACAGGGTATTTCAGGGCTTTTATTTAGAATTATCTGTGATTTGTTTTATTTAAATTTTTTTAAGAATATTTCCTTATTTCTTTTTACCACAGTCTGCTTGGTGGTAAAGCAGAGCTTTTGAGCTTTCGTCGGTTATTTTCTCTGTTGCATACCGATAAGACAGCTTGTTTACGATTTTGCGGTAATTTTACTTAAAATTCTGCTCTCTCTCTCTCTATTTCTTTCTTTTTTACTCTAATTCCTTGATCTACAGCGTTTCATTAATGACTGTAGAGAGTAAAAGTGATTTTTTAAGCGTTACTAACATCATTTTTAACATGTTTTTTAACAATGTGTTTTTTTCTTTTTCGTCTTCTCTTTCGAGCCTTGAATTTTTTTCGCACGATACTCTTAAAATTTTTCTCTTTCTATAACGATCCTGCTTACTGTTTGTTCTATAACTTTTCTTTTGTGATTCTTTTTTTCTTTCTTTTCTTCGGTGACTTGTTGAAAGATTAAAACTTTTCGGAGGCATTTGAGGTTAAGTGCAGTAACGGTATGGTCTTCGGCGCTACCGTTTTTATCAAACCGACTGACGAGGCTCCCCACGTTGCATTTTCTAGCGCGTGTTACAGAACAAAGTTGATTTTGGGGAGCTTGAAAATATTTGAACAGATTTTTTTTTAAGGAGTAAGTTTTAAATTTACCAATTGTGACTTGTTGAGTATTCACTAGTGATAGATAAGCTTAAGAAAGTAGCTGTCATAAATAACGGTTTAGCAACAACAAGCGTTAAAACCTAAATAATAGAAAAGGAAATTGGCTGGGAAAATCGAATGCAGTGAGTTCGTTAGCTTTGCGCTAACTCCGCACACTGCTATTGTTGTTCATATTCAATTTGTTGTTTTTGTATGTTGTCGCTATTACAGTTTTAACACTTTTTTTCTTGTGTGCTCCCCGTTAAATACAAAACCGGGTGCCGATCGCTTCACCAGTACGCGGCGATTTTCCTTTAAATTTTCAAATGTTGTTGTTGTGGTAGCTGTTGTTTAGCTGTGGCTCCGCGGCGCATGCCAAATGGTATAAATCGAATCTGGTAAGCGCACATTGGCCACATTCAGTACGCTAAGCTGCCACGGTTAACAACGTCTCTTCGATTACCAGTTTTGCGCAGAAAGTGCGAGTGCAAGCAAGAAAAAAAGTGCAGGCAAATAGAAAACAAGACAAAAGGAAAATATTTATCCTTGATTGACGCTCGCTTAAGAACGTGCGTTTGTGTGTGTGTGCGCTCGCGTCCCTGCTGTTAGCTGTTGATTTCGTGGAGTGTCCTGTAAAATGCTGAAATTTATCGTAAGCATTGAAGTGAAAGTTTTTTTTCTAATAAAATAGTCTTTTTTTGAAATTTTTTTTTTCGATAACAATTTTAATTT